GCTGCGGTGACCGGGAGCGGCCACTGCACTCCAATCTGGGCGACTGAGTTGAGTGAGACTCCAACTCAAAAAAATAAGAAAGAGAACTGGAAAATAGGAGCAACTGCTATGCATTTGCTAAAACTGAAGCAATATTATATCACAAGTAACAATAAAAGTACAGCAACTATGACTTTATCCATGGAGATCAGAGGAAAGAAACAGTCCTTTCTTTGTCTTTTAAAATTAGAGTATTATCTCTAATTAGAAATAGACTTTGATAAAGTTTTGAGACATTCATTCTTGCATACTCATCATCCTCAATTTACAGAATACATTCTTGAGTAATACTGTGTCATCTGAGTATCAGACTTCATTACAGTAAATTATTGACTTTACTGGTCTTTTCACCTGCCTTTTGCCACTTTAAATGTCACATGTCATTAACACTAGCTTTGCAATACAAGATTACAATGATAAAAGTCAACCAAAAATTCTGAAAACTCCATCATTTTGAGTTTTAAAACTCAGAAAAAACAGAGAAAATTCAATTCTTAATTCAAAAAGTTCTTACACAGTTTATTAGATCATCTAGCCAATAATGACACAAACCAAGTACAGATTGAAATAACTGCCTTCTGTCTCTAAAATTTATCTCAAAGAAGTACCCAAGTAACTTTCCAAGAGAGTGAGGAAATATATTTAATAATCTAACCAATACTCTTCTACTCATTTCACCAAAATTCAGAACACCTACTATGGCTAAACTATTCTGCACTTTCCAGTTACTGCTACTTTTATGACTTCCTGAAAGTACACTAGATATTTTCAAAAAAGCAATATGTACCAATTTAAGAAATAAATAAATAAATAAACTCATTCACCAAAATGTCAAAGTTGCTGATATTTATAATTCACTAAGGAATTCATTTAGTGCCTACTTTAAAATAGATAAATTCTGTTACAACTCTAATCAACTATCTATTCATTTATTCATTCACCCATTCATCTATTTAATTATCTAGCTTCCAGCCAAGATTTATGGAAAGCCTGTTAGTGCTGGCTCTAGGCACCTAGATAGACTGCCTTAAAGATTGCTAAAGAGAGAAGCCCGGCTCGGTGGCTCAGCCTGTAATCCCGCACCTTTGGGAGGCTGAGGTAAGTGGATTGCCTGAGCCCACAGGTTCGAGACCCGTCTGGGCAGCGAGACCTCATCTCTACAAAAAATCAGCCGGGCGTGGTAGCGCATGCCTGTAATTCCAGCTACTCGGAAGGCTGAGGCGGAAGGATTGCCAGAGCCCAGCAGTTCGAGGCTGCGGTGGCTGGGAGCAGCCACTGCACTCCAGTCTGGGCAACAGAGTGAGACTCCAACTCAAAAAAAAAAAAAGATTGCTAAAGAGAGAAAGAAAGGTAAATTTATAATTATAGTGCAATGATTCTAAGTCTTAGTATAAGGAATGCTCAAGTCTTAATAATAGCAGGACAACAATATAGCAGCATGGGAAAGAAAGATACAGAGAATATACCTTAGCATAACAAGATTAAATAAGAAATACTCTTCCATAAACTTGATAATGCATAATATTAAATTAGACACTATAATCATTTCACAATAAACTATAAGCCTAAAAGTCTTAGTTGGTTAAGTTTTATATTTTAAAAGGAAATTTTTAAAGAAAAAATAAAAAAATTTAAGACAGCATTTATATACAAATATAACAGACATATGTAGAAGGATTATATTATAAAAACAAAATATTATAGAATGCTTTCTTCCTTTGGAAATTAGCAGCATCTGCAAAATGCTGATTAATTTTTATTTCAGATTTATTGGACTCTGTGTAAGTGACAGGCAATATCCAAGGCATACGTTATTTAATCCTCAGTGCAATCCTATAAACCAAGAAATAACCCTATTTAATAGATGAGAACAATGAAATAAGACAACTTGTTCAAGGTCACAAGACAAAAAAAAAATTTCTTTTTTAGTCAGTATCTCACTCAGTCACCCAGGCTGGAGTGCAGTGGCATGATCACAGCTCACTGCAACCTTTGGTCTCAGGTGACCCTTCTGCCTCAGCTTCCCAAGTAGCTGGGATTACATGTGAGAGCCACCCCACCTGGATAATTGCTTTATTTTTTGTAGAGACAAGAAGATCAGGTAAGTTACTGGCAAAATTTGAACTGTTTAACTTAGAACCAGCTAAGTTACAGGCAATATTTGAAAGTGAATCTTCTAACTCTAATTCCAGTGTTTTCATTAAATATAGTTACAGAATGTAAAATTTTATGGAATAAATTAGTACAGTCACCTGTATTATCAACTCATGTTTTTATTAGTAACAACTAGCCTCATTATTGAGAGCTTACTATAATCCAAGCACCATGCTGGGCACTTTGTTTACATTAAATGAAATAATATCCTCAGCAAGATCATGAGATAGGTATTATCATTGCCTTTTTACAGATGAGGAAAAAAAAGGCTTATTACTGCAGCAAACTAATTTGCTCATGTCAAGCAGCAGCCTAAATAGGGTAGTTGAGAATTGAACTTGGGTCTGTTTGGCTTCAAAGTTCAAATCCTTAACCATACCTTTATAATGTTGCCATACTTTTCAAACCATTGTTTAATTGACATATAATAGTTGTACCTATTTGGGAGGTACATGTAATACTTTGATACTTATATTAATGTGTAATAATCAAATCAAAGTAATTCGGATATCCATCACTTCAAACATTTATCATTCCTAACCACATTTTTTTTTAAGTTGGGGGTCTCATTCTGTCACCCAGGTTGCAGTACAGTGGCATAATCATGGCTCACCACAGCCTCAAATTCCTGGGCTCAGGTGAGCCTTCTGACTCAGCCTCCTGAGTAGCTTGGATTACAGGTACATACTGCGATGCCTAACTAATCTTTGTTGTTATTTTTGTTTTTTTGTAGAGACGAAGATGTGTTGTGTTGTCCAGGTTGATCCTGAACTTCTGGACTTAAGCAATCCTCCCACCTGGCCTTCCAAACTGCTGAGATTACAGTCGTGAGCCACTGCACTTGGCCCTAACCATATTTTTATACTACTCTAATGAGACTATTTTAAAATATAACCACTAATTTTAATTATATATTTAGAATGGCTATATCTAAAAAATCTGAATGTTAAACACATATTACACTTAACAGGCCAAAGTATATATTTCCTAAACAAACAAAAACTTTATAAAAGTATCCAAATATATCATTGGCTTATAAAATATTTCCTTTGAATTCGAAAATAAAAAATAAACTATTTTAAAACCCAAATTAGTCTATCCTTAAAACTGTCTAGAAGCTGAAAATGGTTTTAAAATTTTTTTTTAAATACATATGTGAAGAAGAACTGTTTGGAAGGAAATATAAATTGATATGTTTGCTTTCTCATTTTTCATATTTGCAGATGATTACTTTCCTAACAATATTTATGCATTTTCTTTTAAGAAATGTTTTCCTATAAGCTTAAAAATTCACATGGAATACAAAAAACAAATGAATCCAATATCACACATAGCAAAATTGTGTTGTGTACTTTGAAAATTATTTATTACAAGGAGAACCTATTCAGCAAATAGTCCTGGGAAAACTGGCTGACCACATGCAGAAGATTCAAACAGGACCTCTATCTATCCCCATACACAAAAATTAACTCTAAATGGATCAGAGACCTAAATGTAAAACCTCAAACCATCAGAACTTTAGAAAATGCAGGGCACACCCTTATGGAAGTTGGAATTGGTATCCAATTCCTGAGCAAAACCTGAAGTGCCCAGGTCATAAGAGATAAGATAGACAAGTGGGACCTCATTAAACTGACAACCTTCTGTAAAGTCAAAGAAACCATCAAAAGAGCAGGGAGACAGCCCACAGACTGGGAAAAAATATTTGCTAACTCCATGTCTGACAAAGGCCTTAACATCAAGGATCCACAAGGAACTCAAATATGCCAAAAAGAAAAAAACAACCCCATTACAAAGTGGGAAAAATATATGAACAGATACTTCTCAGAAGAAGACATATGAGCGGCCAACAGATACATGAAGAAATGTTCAACCTCACTAGTCATCAAGGAGATGCAAATTAAAACTACACCGAGATACCACCTAACTCCAGTCAGAATGGCTATCATCAATAACTCAAAAAATAACAGATGTTGGAGAGGATGTGGCGAAAAGGGAACACTTATACACTGTTGGTGGGAGTGTAAACTAGTACAGCCTATGTGGAAATAAGTGTGGCGATTTCTAAATACTCTAAAAATCGGCCTTCCATATGACCCCTATTTCACCTGGGAATATACCCTGAAGAACTCAAATCACTCCATAAAAAAGATAACTGCACACGCATGTTTATCGCAGCATTGTTCACAATAGCAAGATCATGGAACCAACCATGCTGTCAATCAAAAGAGGATTGGATTTTTAAAATGTGGTATATATACACAATGGAATATTACGCAGCCACAAAAAAGAACAAAATCATGAATTTAGCAGCATCCTGGATGGAATTAGAGTTTATAATACTGAGTGATATCTCACAGAAACAAAGATCTGAGCATCACATGTTTTCACTCATAAGTGGACCTGGAACAACTACAGGAATACTGTAAGAAAAGGATTGACAGTGGTGGGAAACTATGGAGGGGAACAGGGAGGGAAAAGGAGGTGGGATTAACAGTAGTCAATAACTGTCTGGGGAAAGGGGGGCACAACTCATCAAAAGGGTACCTGCCCAATGAATATTTGTATACCTAACCCTTAACTATACCCCACAATTTTAAAATAAAAAATATATAATAAAAAAGAAAGTTATTTATTACTTTTAACTTTATTCATACTGCACATATCTATATTTCCAGACATTTACCCTAGAGCAGATGCTGTTTTGAAACTTCTGAACATTTCAGTTTACTATAGAAATCATAAATTTATAACCTGTAATCCTTGAAAAAAATATCTTTAAAACAAGCAATTAAAATAAGGCTTACCATTTTGATGCCTGTGGAAAATGTCACTGGTTTTATAGGTTTGGGTTTCTCAAGTTGCATTTCTAATTGTGTAGATCTATCTTTATGCTGAGCCAAAAGCAGAGCAACGGGGAGATCAGAACTCTCCTGTAAGAATAGTTCAAGTTCAACATGAAATGCAGAAAGAAAAAACTAAAAAGCAACAAGACTTGTATTTTAAGTTATGCCTCTTCCATAAGCATTTAATGTCAAACTAAATATTCATTTTATGGAGAACACTACAAAAAATATTAACATTCCATAATAAGAAAAGACTGTTGTAGACTCATAAATCAAAATAACCTGCAAACAAGTATTTTTTTATAAAATCCACATTAAAAGGTCCTATTTCACCTAGCAAACCAACCATATTTATTAAAACAAAAAAAAGAGGGTAATCACAAAAAGAGTTGTACAAAGTACTATAACTTAGATCAGATGTTTATCTAAGACACATTCTTTGTACCAGTGAATTCAGACCAGTTTAAAATCATTTCCCATTAGATTTCACCTGAGACCGTTTGGAAATGATCCTTGTTCTGTTTTGCACAATGGAACTATTGTAAGTACAACCAAAAGTATATTTATTTTCTCCTTTACTGACTTACTTTTAAAATTTAAGTATAAACTTTTAAATTAAGTTACAAATAATAGGTAAACAGTTTAAATTATCTTATATTGATTCTAAATCAGGGCCACTATTTACTAAAACGTGCATACATACATATTTTAATACCACGAGCAAATTATTGACTACTTCGAATATGTAGACTATTACTTATTCTGTTTAACAAGAAGTCCTCTTATATGTCTAAAGTGCTATGGAGCTAAAGTCTAAACTAAATGATATCCAGACTTTTTCCTTTCTGAGTTGTCAGTTAAATAATAACCCAGAAACACATGCAGAGGGAGACAAAGAGGGAGGAAATACATCTCTATCTCTCATTCTCATATTTTCTCTCTCCCTCTCTCCCTCCCTCCCTCTCCCTCTACCTCCCTGCCTCCCTTTCTGTCTCTCTCTGTCTCTCTCTCTCTCACACACACATACACACACACACGTACATGCACAGCACACGCACACACATACATAATACTTTCTATATCGGTAAACAAAGATGAAAGTATAAACACATTTCTATACTAAGGCTATCTGCAAAAACAAATCGTTCAAAGAGGCTATAAATCTTTACAATAGTGATCACCTAGAATTTAATTCTGAAGAAATGCTACTGTTAACATTTCACAGTACAAAAGCAAACAAACAACAGACTCTAATTTTCTTTCCAAATCTAACAACTTTATAAATTTTTTAGGCACAAATGTGGGGTGTGTGTGTGTGTGTGTGTGCGTGTGTGTGTGTGTGTGTGTGTGTGTGTGTGTGTGTACACATATATGTATATATATATTTTTTTAAGAAAGCAGGATTTATTGAGAAGACAGAAAAACTCCTGAGGAAGTTGCCCTAATTAATATATTTAAAGGAATTGTTTTAAAGTTACAGTATAGAAATGAGTCAAATAACAAGCAACTTTATTCAACAGAATTATCCTAGAATAAAGCTGCACATCAAGATTTTGTAGAAGTGGCTCTGCAAGAGCAAGTTACAAAGATTTAAACTTTTAAAAAGTAAATAAAAGGACACAAATTTTATTTATAAAATAGAGTCTCATTAAAGAGCAAAATAATTGAAAACTGGCTTTAACAATAATAAAGACATTTAGATAAAAAATAAAGAAGTAATAAATACAGTATGAGAATATATTAGTATACCTTTCATATTCCACACCAAAACATTAGTTATGCATTAGTAGCTGTATTGCTATGAATCCCTGCAGCTATTCTAGATTTAGATTAAGAATTTTAGAATAAAATATAAAATTAAGGAATATTTTTAATAGACTGTGGCCAAAACTATCTTTTAAAAGTTATTCTTTTTCTATGTAGAAACTAACAGAAAAAAAATAAATTTCCTTGGCTAAAAAGTTAAAGCAGTACTTCCCAGTTTATATTCTAAATGAATTCAAGTGCCTTTCCAAAACTGGTATTTTAAAAAGCAAAAGTTCGTACATAAAAGCAAGACAATGTGTTCACTTCAAAAAAAAGTTACTAATCAAGAATTACCTTTTTAAAATCCTGGTTTCACATTCACATAAAAGAAACTGAATGTTAAAATGTCTTGGTAAAGAGGTGAAATTTAATAAAAATAAACATTCTAGAAATCTAAAACTAATTTTAATACTAAAGCATGGAACTTTAACCTACTTTATTCTATTTTAGCACTCAAATTTTGAAGCCTGGAAAAGCCAGAATAAAGCAGAAGTTCTAACAACAACAAAAAAATCCACAGAGTAAAATAAACTATGTGAAATACACATTCTCTGGGGAATACCTAACATGCAGATTTAGCCTTTCAAGTTATTTCATTCTTAGCACTACATTTTACCTTGCAGTGTTCCCTAACGTATATTAATTGCCTGAAGGCACATTGTTTAATATTTAAAGAAATTTTTAATAAGAACTGCCTGTAATACTCATTAAAAGCTATATAATGACCATTTTTAAAAGATTATTTTAACTAACTTCAAGTAAGCCATCTGGCAAACAATATTTCTAATAAAAATCACCTACTGCGTTTGACAACAATATTAGCCCATACAAAATTTAAGACATAAACTGAAGAAAAATTTCAAACAGGAATAGAAAAAGATTTAATAAGTCAGGACCTGTTTAAAAATCTTTTTCCAACTTGTTTTTAAAAATTTACAGTTAGGATTAAATAAATTGACTTTTTAGCCACCATTATGGCAAATACTAAGCCATAAACATTAAAATCATGACATTAAAATTCACATACAGCATAATGTAATGCAAGGTTAAAAAATGGCTTTGGATACAAGAATCAAACCCCAAAACAGGAGAGAAAAGAATTCTAATAAGTAGTACTAGTTGCTTAAATTAGGTGTAGAGAATAATTCTAAGATTTAAGCTTCTAGATATATTTGCAAAAGCTATCGTATTTTAACAAAATCTCACACATAAACATACATAAAAAATACAATGTATTTTTTACTTAGATAATAAGGGTTCAAGAAGATAAAAAGAAATGCAATTAATTCATTAGTCATAAAGTATTTTACTATTTATAACAAAAAATTTTAATAAAGATTGAAAAATTAATGTAACTAAAAATCTTTAAAAATAGATTTTAAAATGGAAACCAGAAATTCGAATTGCAGAGGTATTCTAAACCAATCTTGTAATTAATTGCACTAATGAATACAGTAAATTACTAAGAATTATTTAACCACCATGTTACCCGATCTAAACAGTAAGGAAAGTATGTGCAGTAATGACTTGCAGGTGAAGAAAACAGGAAGTAGGGAAAAGAACTCACAAAAGTCAATATTAACTCCAGATTATACACAATGTACAACAATAGCAGTTTTACATCTTATTTCATGACTTACTGAATTAAAGGGGAGCTTCATGCCTATAGCAGCTTATGCAAGAATAAGTGCTATGCGAAGCTGGCTAGGTTCAAAACAAGATCTAAAGCTCTTCTGTCAGAAGGAACATAAAATGTTAAGAGTATATTTTCTTCTTACATAAAAGTTCTATATTTGTGATTAATTCAATTAATTGTATAGAGGGGAAGCATAATTCAAAAAGAGCATGTTCTTTGTATAAATGAGGGGAAAGCAATTATAATAACATCAATATTTACGAATTCATTCTTTAAAGTTTCTAATTTCTCACCAAACACATCTATAAAAATGTAAAATACAACACGTGTGTCATTTCAACTGTAAAAGCCATACCTGCCACTAATAATTTCAAGAAAGAAATAATGAAAATTGCTAGAGAAAATATCATTATTCTATTTATTATGCTGCTATCCCCATTTTTAGAGTCAAATTCACATTCCACTCACTGAAAACAGACAGAGTTTTGGGGAGGTTTCGTTATTGTTGTTGTTTTTTAGTCAAAGTCTCATTCTGTCACCCAGACTGGAGTGCAGTGGCATAATCATAGCTCACCACAGCCTCAACCTCCTAGGCTCAGGTGATCCTTCTGCCTCAGCTTACTGAGTAGCTGGGACTACAGGCATGTGCCACCACACCTGTAGAGACTTTTTTTATTTTTTGTAGATACAAAGTCTCATGTCTCACTCCGCTGCCCAGGCTGGTCTTAAATCCCTGACCTCAAGAGATCCTCCTGCCTCAGCCTCCCAAAGTGCTGGGATTACAGGCATGAGCCACACAGCACCTGGCCTACATAGGGTTTTATGATAAGCATTTTATTCTAAGCCTCATTAATACCTTTACCCTAATTTTACCTTTACTTTCTCACCTACTTCTAATTTAAGTAGTCTTGCTTGCTCTTTTTATTTCTGGTTAACTGGCTTAAATACTTTTTGGGGCAAAAATGTGCATGTAGTAGAATACACACATGCACATTTGCCCCATCATAAAATAACAGCATATCAATTAGACAGGGGAGCTAAGTATGTTGCCATTAAAGAAATGCCTCAGAGAAATTAATTATGTGAACAGAAAGGAGAAGAAAAGAATGAAAAAGGGCTTTCCCAGAGAGGAAGATTTTCTAGTTTGTGATGTCATTATCACATGGGTTATAAGCATCAAATGATATAGTAGCAAATCCACGAAACATTCAATAGACCTTAGTTATTATTACTGCTATTATCTAACAACATTGACTACCTAAGAAGTTAACTGCTGGAAAACACCAATAATTTACAAAAATACTGCCATTTCTTTCAAATATTATTTTGTCATTCAAAAATATAAACTATACTTGTCACAGAGTAACCAGAGTCAAAATAATATTTAGCACAGAGCCAAAACACTTGAAACTGAGATAATTATTAGAAAATCAGTTAATCAGGAGGAAAAGTGCTCCAAAAACAATGTGTTTTTGTGTTTTAAAAACATATCAACAATCTATTAAGAAATAGTGGTCATATTAGATATGTTGCTCTCTTAAAGGAAAGGTAAACTCTGAAAAATAAAGTTTTTAAAAATCACAATTAGCGTTAACACATACCAGTTCATCTAAAAATGCCTGTTTATTCTTCCTTTTGAGAATCTGTTGCAGCTGTTCTTCTTTTTGTATAAATAGTCTTCTTTGTTCATTTTCCTGCCGTTCTACTTCTAAGGCTTCCTCTAATTCTTCCTGTTCTCGCGTCTAAAACAAAAATGTATATATGGCATGGAATACATTTAGTAACCAAGAGCAATATTATACCACACTGATACTTTCTTTATAGGAAGCATAAAACACACCAGACATTTATTATTTAATAATATACCAATTTCACTTTTAAGGAACTTGAATTCATTTTTCTTCATGTGGATATGTTACTATTAAAGAAAACACTGTTCTACCATATTAATGGAATTTATGTCTGACTAAGGCAGCTGGGAATACATTAAGGGAATTTGAGGGATAGCTTAAGAAATAGGACTAGAGGTAGTAAGGCATACAGATAGATAATTGGGTTCAAGACTCAAAATAGAAAGACTAGTTAGAAAAATATTCAAATAACCCAAATAAGAAATGGTAAGAGCCCTAAATAAGGTAATAATCGAATTAGAAGTGGGATCAGGTTTGAAAATAAACGATCATGAAGAGAATATGAAGATTGACCAAATATGGCTTGAACACTTGGATGAATACTGTCACCATTTACTGAAATAAAGAACATAATAAGAGAAGAAATAGACTTTAAGTCAAAAACTGTCACAAAAGACAAAGAACATTATATAATGATAAAATGGTAGGCCGGGCACAGTGGCTCACACCTGTAATCCCAGCACTTTGAGAGGCCAAGGTGGGAAGATTCCTTGAGCCCAGGAGTTTGACACCAGCCTGGGCAATATAGTAAGACTTTGTCTCTACGAAAAAATAAAATAAAATAATTAGCTAGGCATAGTGGCAAGTGCCTGTAGTCCCAGCTACTTGCGAAACTGAGATAGAAGGATCACCTGAGTCCTGGAGGCCAAGGCTACAGTTAGTCATGATCTGTGCCACTGCAATCAAGCCTGGGCAGAATGAGACTCTGACTAAAAAAAAAAAACCAAAAATGTCAACACAGAAAAAGATACAACAATTATAAGCATATGCATCCAACATCAGAGCACCTAAGTATATAAAGTAAATTTTAACAACTAAAAGGAGAAACAGACAGCTATACAATAACAGTTAAGAGAATTTAATAACCCACATGTAATAACTGGTAGAATATCCAGACAGAACATCAACAAGGAAACAGAGGTCTTGAACAATTCTGTAGAACAAATGAAGCTAACAGACATATACAGAACATTCTACCCAACAGCAGCAGAATACACAGTCTTCTCAAGTGCACACAGAACTTTCTCCAGGATTGATCACAAGTAAGATTACAAAACAAGCCTTAACAAATTTAAGAAGAGAGAAATCATACCAAGTATCCTTCCTGACCAGACCACAAAAGAACAAAACCAGGAAACAATAACAGAAGGCAAACTGGAAAATGCACAAATATGTGAAAATTACACAGCATAATCTTGAACAACCACTGAGTCAAAGAAACCAAAAAGGAAATCAGAAAATACTGCAAGACAAACACACAAAAAAAACATAGTATAATAAAACTAAGAAAAAGCAGTAGAAAGGAGTTTATTGTGATAACTACATTCAAAGAAAGACTTCAAATAAACACTAACTTTACATCTCAAGTAGCTAAAAAAAAGAGTAACAAACTAAGCCCAAAGCTAGCAGAAAAAAGAAAATAAAGATTATCAGAACAAAAATAAGTGAAAAAAAAAAAAATCAACAGAATCAAGAGTTGGGTTTTTTTAAAAAAGATAAACAAAATGGAAAAACTCTTAGCAAGTTTATGAAAGAGAGAAGACTAAAAGTCAGAAATGAAAAAAGAGACATGATAACTGCTGTCACAGAAATAGAAAGGATCATGAGAGATTACTATGAATAAGTATACACCAACAAACAGAATAACCTGGAAGAATGACTAAACTCCTAGAAATGAACAACTTACTAAGAACAAATATGAAGAAATAGAAAATCTGAAA